AAAATGCAAATCCTGCGTGGGAGCTGGACCCCGAAAGACGACGGGGCTAACTAACCACGACCACCCACATGGTCCGGCGGCCGAAGACCGCTCATCCATCCCGATGCAGTAAAGCATCACGGCGGCGCGCCCACCAGCTCTGACCAAGCGTGAACCGAGCCTTGCTGACGCCTCGCTGCTCTCACTGCTCTGGCTTCTCTGGCCGCTCTCGCTGCTCTCGCTATTGCCCCAGAGGCCAGGCTCTCCGGGGGCTGAGACATGGCTGACCATCTACCCTTTGACCCTGGATCCCCACACCCCGAATTTGGTTCTTTTCCGTCCAAGCCGTCCCTCCAGCTGGCAGCCCTAAGTCCCAAAAGAGATGCTCAAGGTGGGCTCGTCAAGCCTTGCCGTGCTGTGAGGCGTGGCGGTCTCGACTCTTTTCTCTGTTTCGCCCTGGCCGATGCTGGGCCTGGCTCTCAATGGTGTCGATGGCGGGCTTGTCAATGGGCTGTCAGTGGCTCTCACGACCATGCAGGCGGGTTGGAGCACGCACATGGCTGGCTGACGGGTGGCCCCTCGAGATCTACAGCTGAGAATACCACCTCTCCCCTGAGCATACAACCTCGTGTTCGATTCGACTACTTATTGCTCGGGCCCTCACGTCTCCATCTGCCATCTCTTGTCCCCCTCATCATCACACAACAGCAACAACAACAAGAAGAAGAGCCTTCTCTTCTCCACCTGACTGACTCCTACAAGACCTTGTCAACATCCCCCCCCCATCTCTTGACACTTGTTTGCTCTCTCATTTCTCTTACCCCTGATCCACCTACATCCCAACTACCAGACGACTCACCCGAGCCTGTCGACTCCTGCTTCGGCCCCCCTTCTTCACACCCAACACCTTTCCGTTTTCAGCCCAACCGCAGGACACCATGCGTTGCCAGATCGGCCTCGTCTCTGTCCTGGGCATGCTGGCTTCGGCCCACCCTGCCCCTGCTCTCGATGCCAGGCAGGCGTCTGGCTCTGCCGTGGCCTCCCCTGCCCCCTCGGATACCAACAACAACCCCCAGGAGTCTGCCGTGCCTGTCATCACCACTGCCACCGGCACCGTCGCCACGGCTGCCCCCGTCCAGGCCACCGACGCCCCTGCCTCGGACGGCTCGGACAGCGATGCCGCTGGTGTCGCCGGCACCGTTCTCATCCTCGCTCGTGATGAGTACAGCGCCTCTCTCGGCAGCGCCGGCCTCGTCGGCTACGGCATCAACTATGAGCACTACATCGTGCCCAAGGAGGGCCGTGACCTGCCCAAGCTCAACTCGACTCTGAAGCACGGCAACTACGGTGGCATCATCGTCACCGACGCCCTCGCCTACGAGTACGATGACGGCTGGCACAGCGCCTTCTCCACTGAGCAGTGGGCTGCCATCCACTCCTACCAGGCCGACTTCCGCGTCCGCATGGTCCGCATCAACGAGTACCCCGGCCCCCAGTTCGGTGTCACCACCGTCGGCGGCGGCTGCTGCGGCGCCGGTGTTGAGCAGCTCATCAGCTTCACTGACGTTTCCGCCTTCCCCACTGCCAACATCAAGAAGTGAGTCCCCCACGCGCAGCACAACCCCTGGTCCTCTCGCTCAAGCATATTGGGACTAACATGAATCTCAGGAATGCCGGTGTCACCAGCCAGGGCCTCTGGCACTACCCCGCATCCATCACGGACACGGCCACCACCAAGCAGGTCGCCAAGTTCGGCACCGGTGGCACGTACACCTCGGAGACGGTCGCCGCTGTCATCAACAAGATCGACGGCCGCGAGCAGTTTGTCTGGTTCACCTCGTGGGCCCCTGACTGGTCGTCCACCTCCAACTACCTGCAGCACGCTCACATCCACTGGATGACCCGCGGTGCTTTCCTTGGCAAGCGCAAGACGCACCTGAGCGCCCAGATCGACGACGTCCAGCTCGGCACCGATCTGTACTACCCTGCCGGCGGTCACTACAAGAGCACCACTGCTGATCTCAACGGCCACGTCTCGTGGCAGACGAACCTCAACACTCGCCTGCCCCAGGGTTCGTCCTTCTGGCTCGAGTTTGCCCACAACGGCAACGGTGACATTGAGGCCGCCACCACCCGATCCGGCTCAGAGAACTACTGCGACCCCGACACGGCCGTCTACCAGGATGACTTCCCTGCCACTCCTCTTGAGTTCCAGAAGCCCCTCGGCACCGGCCAGGACTACTGGCCCGACATGTTCACCACCTACAACTGGACCAAGGCCTGTGCCGACCGCGACAGCTTTGCTGTCTGGTTCCAGAAGGCTGCCAACCGTGACGCCTTTGGCCACCTCTCGCACACCTTCTCCCACATGTCGCTCAACAACGCCACCTACGCCGACGTCAAGCGCGAGATCCAGTTCAACCAGGCCTGGATGAAGCAGATGGGGCATCGACCAGGCCACGCGCTTCTCTGCCCACGGCCTCGTCCCCCCTGCCATCACCGGCATGCACAACGGTGACGCCATCAGGGCCTGGATCGAGAACGGCATCACCAACGTTGTCGGTGACAACACGCGCAACCCCCTGCGCAACCTCGGCAACAAGTACCACCCCCTGACGAGCACCGTCGCTGACAACGGCTACGCCGGCCTCAACATCATCCCTCGCTTCGCCACCACCATCTACTACAACTGCGACACGGCCGAGTGCACGCTCCGCGAGTGGAAGGAGACCTCGGCCGGTACTGGCGACTTCAAGAACCTCCTCGACAACGCCCGCGCCACCAACACGCGCTACCTCATGAGCCTGCAGGCCGACCCCTACATGTTCCACCAGGCCAACCTCCGCTTCAACGACCAGCCCACCATCACCGTCGGCACGAGGACGGCCAAGATGTCCCTCGTCATGGCGTGGGTCGAGACCATTGCCCAGGAGATGACCCGCCTCACCAACTGGCCCATCACCACCCTCAAGCACGACGACATTGGCAAGTACTTCATCGACCGCCAGACCCTCGACGCCTGCAAGCCCAAGGTCTCCTACGGCTACGCCGCCGACGGCAACTCGATCAAGTCCATCACCGTCACCGCCAACGGCAACTCCTGCGCCGTCCCCGTCCCCGTCACCATCCCCTCCGGCTCCGTCACCGCTGCCGGCGGCTCCGCCACCGCCGACGTCGTCGGCTCGGAGCCCCCCATCCAGTGGGTCACCCTCAGCGGCTCGCCCGTCACCCTCACCCTCGGCACCGCCGTCAGCATCGCTGCCTGAGCGAGAGAGTCGAGCGACCACCTTGCACATTTTGCACAGACACACATAATTCAGCATTAGAGGACGGCACATTCGGGGGGCGTTTCGGGGTCATGATTTCAGGGTGTTCATTCTTCTCTTTTCTGGTTTTCGAGTCTCAGGGATGCTCGGGTTTGAAAAGAGTGATCTAGCTTAATGTCTATCCTTAAGAATAATTTGTTATCCATCATACTTGCTCCGTCTCGTGATCCGCCTGGTTGTGGTCTGATTTGCATTGGTTCGAGTGTTGGCGAGGCGTGGTCGGTGGCCTTGATTGATTTCTCACGATGCAAGTGTTGCTGTTCAAGGGTCGTACTTGAGTAGCGAATCCGATGCGCTTGCGATTTAGGAGCCAGCGAAGGTTGTCCCCCTGTGTGAGACACATGTTAGGCTGCGGGGAACGATGGAGGCTGCTTGCGGCAGGCGATCATGATGGATCGAGCCTCACGGGTAGGGGCACGATTATTGCCAGTACATCACAGAATGAGTTGAGTGTTTCAGTAGAGTAGGTTGAATTGTTGTCACTTTTTATCGCCAGATGAATCCAGCCAAGATCGGTTAAGATATCGAGTGTAGATGTGATGGCTTCGTGGTCGTGGGATAGAGCAATTGCTGCCACTGCAACACTACCCATACATGCTCCAATTATGTGAAGCCTTTCATGGGAGGAGGCAGTGAACAAAGTCCAATAGCGCCTTTTAGACTTGACGCGATGAGGTTTCTTGTTCGGACCGCTCGTGGTGGCGTCTGGTGGTCTCGCCCATCGGCGTGATGTTGCCGGTTGCGGCCAGGATGAGGTTGGCCGACACCAAAACCAAGCGTGTGAAGCTTCAATGAATACAAGTAGTAATCTTACTCAGTACGATACTTCGGTATATTGCTGTGACACGAGATGTTCAGCTCGAGTTGTCTTACTTTGAGGCTCCTGGGACAGCATTTTGTGACTCTTACTACCGTAGTAGGAAGACAGCCGAGCTTATCCTCAGGGGCTATTCAATATATGCGAAGTGGATAAACATCTCGAAGTGTCTCAGGGGCGTTTTTCGCTCATTGGTCATGCAGTTTTTTCCCCAGGTTTGATCGTCCGAAATCTCAATTAAGCTTTGTCACATGTTCGTTCAGAATAATTGGGGGATTAAGCATCAAAAAGTCCACAGACGTACGCAGTGATTGATGGTGTTGTTTATGGTGGATGAAAATGCAATTGAGCACTTCCTCTTGGTTTGATAACAAAATTGGAGTTTTAACTGCGAATGGTGCTGTGTGGTCTCAGAAAACAGCTCACTGGCCATGGTGTTCCTCGATGGCGATGAACGATATGCACAGCTCAGCCTTGTCCCAAATCACGTGACGTATTTGCATTTCGGCAGACCCCAGCAAGCTGTTGACAGAAAATTTGGCACTCTTCAAATCACGCATATCTACCAACAAGTCATTCTACCCTCCATAGCTACCACATCCCTCATCCGTTGCGGCATTGAATTAATCCAGTGATTAACACGTTCTGGATTTATCCATAAAGGTAGCAGCCCCTAGCTTTTGTAGGTGTATTATGGTGTGAAGATTCGGTCATTTTGGTGGTTGTAGTGGTGTTGTTAGGTGAAGGATTTTAGGAGTGCCAGATTTTCTGTCGACAGCTTTGCCCAGTTCTGTCAATGACAATCGCGCATGCACACATGGCTCTTCTCCTGGTGGTACAAGCTCCGTGGAATTCACTTATCGAACAGGCGCCACGTCTGGGTCATCATAACGGTGTTAGGAGACTGATTGCCAATACCCTACACATGCTGACATTCATGAAGCGCCGTGGCAGGCGTGTCACGAGCCAAACCACCAGCTGCTGGACGCGGTTTACGCCGTCGATTGCTACCATACTCGCTAGGCTCCCCTCGTGACAGCTTCATTTTCCTTCTCTTACGGCAAATGAAGAGGCACGAACCCGTCGTGAAAAGCAATATCGGGAGATTGCCCGGTAATCGACGTGACTGCACTGGCCAATTCGGAGCTTTCAGCTGGCCTTGTGCAAACAATCCGATCGGATCCCACCCTAGCAAACCTGTGGCAGAAGGAAAATACCACGGCATCGGCGACGGACCGTGTCCCCCTCACAAGCTCCGAGAGGCATCGGTGCTTGCGATTCAGCTTTTGCAAATTTGTAATGTCTCGAAGTGGATGACGTTTGGATGGTGGTCAGAATCATGACGCGTACTAGGACAATGGTGGGATAACATCAGGGCGTGATTGGGTCATCGACATCGCTCGCTTAGTGGAAGCTTGTTTGGAAATGTAGATGAATGGGTGCCGCATACGGCACGAGAAGTGAGCCAGACGCGGGGCTTGGCTCGTGAAAGATTCGCGACGCTCCTGGACTAGAGCCTCATGGTCGAAGTCCTCACGGTACTCTCTGCTCTTAGGTTCCTAAATATTTGGCGGATCGATCAGTTTTCGAGATCCTGAGAACGGGTCAGGGTTCTCATCACATGAGTACATGTAGCTCAGGTTGACACACTCCATCGCAGCCTCAGGTACTGGCCATCAGATCCGTCAGCACCAATGACTGAGGTGAACGCCTCAGTGTGTAATCCACGATCGTTCCAGGTAACTGAACTGCCACATGGGTCATCTGCCATCTGGTATGTCGAAACACATTGGAACACGCGTTCCAGCAGCAACCCTGAGGTTGTGGTACCACGTCGAAACCGACCCAATCGGATGATCTGGCGTAGCTAGCCTACCGTACCTTATCTGGGCCTTTTCCCACTTGATGATTTTGAGACCAGTCAGTCTGATCTCATCGTGGATCCCACCCCCAGAGCTCGTCATAGACTCCCCCTTACCGCGATCCTTGGGGCACTTCGGACAGTTTTGTGCCCGATGTCCAGGCACACTTTCAGACCCTTCTCGGCCTTCGGCCACAGTCAGCCTCGTAGTACGGTCGGCAAACCTCCGTGGCTCCGTGGCCCGTGGCCTGGGATCATAATGTCCGATCTGACTATTTGGTGCCGTTTGCCTCGTCCCTTGACGCTGTGCAGAATGTGACTTTTCATTCTCTTTCCAAGGCAATCCGTCTTCGAACGAGTTCACGTTACCTTCTGGTGCCCCGAGACTCACCACCACAGCTTTGGGCGGCCAGTTCATCCACCCAATCCTGGCCTTCTATTCTGCTGCTCAACACATCATCGGGCTGTCCTTGGCCTGTCTGGGCTTGAAGTTTTACCTACAGCCTCGCCATCATGGAGGCGCGTGCGACACCACTCGATACTGACGTCCCGGGCGGCTTCCCTGAGACTCCGGCCTCCAATGGGGCTCCTACGCCACAAAGCCTACAGAATCGCAACTCTGCCAGCAGGGTTGTCAACTACAGCGCTGGATCCTACATACCCACCTCGAACCAAAGTGCTGGGAAAACCTCGAATGATGGTCTTGCTGGAAATGCTTCCTACTTCGGTTCTATGAACGGCGGTCGAGACGCCCGTGCCGAGCCCTCACCCACCTACGGCGCCTCCTCCGAAGCCAGTACCCTGCATGGCGATCGGGCGTCGCACGATCGTGATGCCGCTCCTCTAGCCGCTGCCGCTTTTGCGTCGCAGGACTCGAAAATCCTCGACGAAAAGGAGCAAGTTTCGCCAGCTGCCAGCACACCGTCCGATGACGATGAGCCCCAACTCGCGCCATTAAAACCCGCCCCTAGTTCGACGGAGAAGTCGCACCTTCACCGTCAGAGGAGCGCCCGAAACGAGGATGAACTCTTCCAGATGCTATCGAGGCGCCGGACCGGTGCATCCTCGACGGCCGAGGAGCAAGAAGAAGAAAGCGAGATCAACATGCTCATGGCTCGTATGTTCGGAAAGACGCGTCAGGAGAATTCAGAGGAGGAACAGACCCGCCACAGTGGTGTTGTCTTCCGCGACCTGACTGTCAAGGGCGTCGGTCTCGGTGCCAGCCTCCAGCCTACCGTGGGCGATATCTTCATGGGGCTCCCGAGAACCCTGAAAAACCTCCTTACCAAAGGCCCCAAGGCTGCCCTGGCCAAGCCGCCCGTTCGCGAGCTCATCAGCCACTTCGACGGCTGTGTGCGACCTGGCGAGCTCCTCCTTGTCCTGGGCCGTCCTGGCTCCGGCTGTACGACCTTTCTCAAGGCCTTTTGCAACCAACGCTCTGGCTTCGAAGCCGTCGAGGGCGACGTCACATATGGCGGCACTGACGCGCAGGAGATGTCTAAGAAATACCGTGGCGAGGTCATCTACAACCCCGAAGATGACCTCCACTACGCTACATTGTCAGTGAAGAGGACGCTCAAGTTTGCGTTGCAGACCCGAACGCCGGGCAAGCACTCTCGACTCGAAGGCGAGAGTCGTCAGGACTACATCGCCGAGTTCATGAGGGTGGTCACCAAACTGTTCTGGATCGAGCATACCCTCGGTACCAAAGTCGGCAACGAGTTCATCCGTGGCGTATCTGGAGGCGAGCGCAAGCGTGTCAGTATCGCTGAAGCCATGATCACCAGAGCCTCCGTTCAGGGCTGGGATAACTCCAGCAAGGGTCTCGACGCGAGCACTGCCCTGGAGTATGTGCGCTCCATTCGTGCCATGACCAACATGGCCGACGTCTCCACTGCCGTATCACTCTATCAGGCCGGAGAGTCTCTCTACGATCTTGCAGACAAAGTTCTGCTCATCGACGGCGGCAAATGTTTATACTACGGACCTTCCGACGACGCCAAGCAGTACTTCATGGATCTTGGGTTTGATTGCCCCGACCGCTGGACCACTGCCGACTTCCTCACCTCAGTCAGTGACCCTCATGAGCGCAGCGTCCGCAAGGGCTGGGAGAACCGTATCCCTAGAAGCCCCGAGGAGTTCTACGAAGCCTATAAGAAGAGCGACGCGTACAGGAAGAATCTGGCCGATGTTGAGGACTTTGAGTCGTCGCTCGTCGAGCAACGCCAACAGCGCGAAGCTGCCTCGTCAGAGATTAAAAAGAAGAACTACACCCTCCCTTTCCATCAGCAAGTCATCGCATGCACCAAGCGCCAGTTCTTGGTCATGACCGGAGATCGCGCATCTCTACTCGGCAAATGGGGAGGCCTCGTATTCCAGGGCCTCATTGTCGGCAGCCTGTTCTTCAATCTCGCTCCCACAGCCGTCGGCGTATTCCCTCGCGGCGGTACTCTCTTCTTACTACTTCTCTTTAACGCTCTTCTCGCTCTCGCTGAACAGACTGCTGCCTTCGAGTCCAAGCCCATTCTGCTCAAACACAAGTCCTTCTCGTTCTACCGACCGGCGGCATATGCTATTGCACAAACCGTGGTTGACGTGCCGCTTGTGTTCATCCAGGTGTTCCTCTTCAATGTCATCATCTACTTCATGGCAAACCTCGGACGAACGGCATCGCAATTCTTCATTGCCACCCTCTTCTTGTGGCTTGCGACCATGGTGACGTACGCCTTCTTCCGAGCCATTTCGGCGTGGTGCAAGACCATGGATGAGGCCACTCGCTTCACGGGCATTTCAATCCAAATCTTGGTCGTATACACTGGCTACTTCATTCCACCTAGCTCCATGCCTCCATGGTTCGGCTGGCTGAGATGGATCAATTGGATTCAATACAGCTTCGAGGCCCTGATGGCAAATGAGTTTTCCAGCTTGGATCTGCAGTGTGAGGCGCCATTCCTAGTGCCTCAGGGTCCAAATGCTTCGCCTCAATACCAGTCATGCACTCTTAAGGGCAGTGAACCCGGCAGTACTATCGTCACCGGTGCGGCGTACATCCGGGAGGCGTTCTCCTACACTCGGTCTCACCTATGGCGCAACTTTGGCTTCCTCTGGGCCTTTTTCTTCTTCTTCGTCTTCCTGACCGCCCTCGGCATGGAGCTGATGAAGCCCAATGCTGGCGGTGGCGCTGTTACCGTCTTCAAGAGGGGTCAAGTCCCCAAGAAGGTGGAGGAGTCAATCGAGACCGGCGGCCACGAGAAGAAGAAGGACGAGGAAGCTGGCCCTAGCGGACACTTTTCGCAGGCCATGCCCGACACGAGCAACACAGGCGAGACAAGCGGCGACGCCGCAAACCAGGTCGCAAAGAACGAAACCGTCTTCACTTTCCGCAACATCAACTACACTATCCCGTACGAGAAAGGAGAAAGAAAGCTTCTTCGGGATGTTCAAGGCTACGTCCGCCCCGGAAAACTCACTGCTCTCATGGGAGCTTCAGGTACGTGTTTTGCTGTGTGCGGTCCATGGCGGACACCGCTGATTGATCACAGGTGCTGGCAAGACGACCCTTCTCAATGCTCTAGCCCAACGTCTCAACTTTGGCACAATCACTGGTGATTTCCTCGTCGATGGTCGACCCCTTCCCAAGTCCTTCCAACGTGCCACTGGCTTCGCGGAGCAAATGGACGTTCACGAGCCCACATCTACAGTTCGTGAGGCCCTTCAGTTTTCGGCTCTGTTGCGTCAGCCCCGCGAGACACCGAAACAGGAGAAGCTTGATTACTGCGAGACCATCATCGACCTCTTGGAAATGCGCGATATCGCCGGCGCGACTATTGGCAGAATCGGCGAGGGATTGAACCAGGAGCAGCGTAAGCGTTTGACAATTGGCGTCGAGCTTGCTTCAAAGCCCGAGCTACTGATGTTCCTCGATGAGCCCACATCTGGCCTTGATTCTGGCGCCGCTTTCAACATTGTCCGCTTCCTTCGTAAGCTGACCGACGCCGGCCAGGCTGTGCTCTGCACCATCCACCAGCCCTCAGCCGTTTTGTTTGAATACTTTGACGAGTTGCTTCTTCTCAAGTCCGGTGGTCGTGTGGTCTACCACGGCCCTCTGGGACACGACAGCAGCGAGCTGATCGGCTATCTTGAGTCAAACGGCGCAGACAAATGCCCGCCCAACGCCAACCCTGCCGAATACATGCTCGAAGCTATCGGTGCTGGTGATCCAAACTACAAAGGCCAAGACTGGGGTGATGTGTGGGCTGATTCCTCTCATCGCGAGGCCCGTTCGCGCGAAATTGATGATTTAATTGCCGAGCGCCAAAACGTCGAGCCGACTGCCAGCCTGAAGGATGATCGCGAATACGCTGCATCCCTCGGTACACAGACGATGCAGGTGGTGAAGCGTGCCTTTGTCTCCTATTGGCGGTCACCCAATTACATCGTCGGCAAGTTCATGTTGCATATACTCACTGGCCTTTTCAACACCTTCACCTTCTTCAAGATCGGCTTCTCTTCGACCGATTTCCAGAACCGCCTGTTCTCCATCTTCATGACGCTCGTCATCTCACCACCTCTTATCCAGCAACTGCAGCCTGTCTTCCTCAACAGCCGCAACGTTTTCCAGTCTCGAGAGAACAATGCCAAGATTTATTCCTGGTTTGCGTGGACCACGGGCGCTGTACTTGCCGAGATTCCCTATGCCATCGTCGCTGGTGCCGTTTACTTCAAGTAAGTTGAGCCTGGGCTCACCCGTCTACTGAATATGGCCGGATTCACTCTCGAACACTTTCGTTGTACCAGAAGGCTGACTTCATTGCGTAGCTGTTGGTGGTGGGGGATTTTCGGCCTCGATGTCTCCGCCTTTGTGTCGGGCTTCGGTTTCCTCCTCGTCATCCTATTTGAGCTCTACTTCATCAGCTTTGGTCAAGCCATCGCTGCATTCGCCCCCAACGAACTGCTCGCCTCCCTGCTTGTTCCGCTCTTCTTCCTTTTCGTCGTCAGTTTCTGCGGTGTCGTTGTCCCGCCCATGCAGCTCCCCACCTTCTGGCGCGAGTGGATGTACTGGCTGTCGCCCTTCCACTACCTCTTGGAAGCTTTCCTCGCAGCTGTCATTCACGACCAGCCCGTCCAGTGTGCTTCTGAAGAGTTTGCTCGCTTTGAGGCACCGAACGGTCTTAGCTGCGATGAGTACGTTCAGCCATTCATCGCCGAAGCGGGCGGCTACGTGCAGACAGCCTCTGATGGGCTGTGTGAGTTCTGCCAGTATGCCACCGGTGACGAGTTTGGTGTCGGCTTCAGCGTGTACTACAGGAATATCTGGAGGGATTTCGGGATCTTCTGCGGCTTCATTGCATTCAATTACGCCGTTGTCTATCTTGCCACGTGGTTGCGGTTCAAGGGGAAGAACCCCCTGAAGGGTTTTATGGCCAAGAGGAAGAATTAGTACATTGGTAGTCAGCGTCACTCGTCATACTTAATGCTACAACTTTGTTCGTTTGTCATTTTCTTTCAGAACACTGTGAGCCTCGGCTTCGTATGCCTCATATGGGCCTCCCCCAGATGATCCACCACGGGGCCATTGCCCTCATCCAGCCCGAACCCTAGCGCCGCGTCGCACAGCTCTTCCATGAGCACCACGACCGAGGTCGGGTGTCATTCAAGGGCGATTGGTTTAGTGGTATAACGTCTGCTTAGCATCCGAGATCATGAGATCGTGAGATACTATCTGCTGAAGGTCGCGCGTTCGATTCGCGCATTGTCCATCTTTTGCTTTTGCCATATTCATTGGCGAAGTCCGAACAACGCGGTATCTAGTGTTACAGAATTCTTATTATATATGGATAATTAGCACTCTCAACGTAACATCTAGTCAGGGTACACGACGATAGCAGCGCCTGTGTGCCCTTGCAAGCTCTGGGCATAACATGCTTGGGTGGTTGCTCATTCATTTGTCGCCTTCTCTTCGAATCCCGCCCAATCGGGCTTTATTTTCTCGGGGTCCGCATGCGATGTCTCGAGGCCCATCTTCCCCATTGCCTTGATGAGTTCCCCATCATCTACTTCGGCGTGCTGCGGACTGCTTCTGCCGTATTGCTCGTCGAGTTGCCTTCCAAGCGCATCCGGGATCTTGAAGATTTCGCCAGTCCGATGGTCCTGAGCCCAGTGCTGTTCGGGCAGTACGATTGGGTCTGGATCTATGATCGGCTGGATCAGGGTCCGATGCTCGTGATAATGAATGGAGCGAGTCCGCCGTTGCTCGTAAATCGTGTGGACGTGTGGCCGGATTTCTTCGTGCGTGACAGGTTGCCGCGTGATGACTGTGTGATCGAAATACACATCGGGGTGCGTCTCGACGCGATCGAATTTCTCGGGTTCAATGTTGACCCCTGTAGTGTCTATACTACCTTTGCCGACATCGTCGGTATTGGGCCCCGTGCCTTCACTCGATGTGCGGAGCTTCAACTCGGGACTCTCAGAGCTGATCCTAGGCGCAGTCGTCATGCTCGACCTATTGCTAGGGGTGGTCTGGCCACTGGTCTGCCCGCTTTTGCTCCCTCGTCGACGAGCGGAACGGGGCTCAAAGTTCGCCCTCTGGAGTTCATATCGATCCCGAGTTGTCCGTGGCCACGACTCAGTCTCCATACCGCCAGCCGAGGCCTCAGCCACGCCAGATTGATTCCTTGAACTGACTGGAGACTTGAACCTGCGAGACAGGGCCTGCCTGAGACGACTTGACTTGGAGGGCATGAGTACGTGATCCATCTTCAATGATATCAGAGTGTTGGGTATATCCCATGGTCAAGGGTGAAAATGCTACCAGAGCACCAGTCATGGGGTTGGCGGGGAGTGCATGCATCATCTAGGAGGCCGAGAAGCATGCGTCATCGCCGCCAGAGTTCAAAGCGCGGATGCTGTCATTGATAGACGCAAGCAGCAAGCACGGTCCAATGTTCTGAGAAATGACTCAAGGTGTATCAGAGGAAGAACTACTCCGGAAAGTCGGTTGAGCTAGACTGTTCTGGAGCATGCTTGGCTCGAGAATGTCTCAAGTGTTCAATGAGTATTGTTGTGACAGTGGCTGTCCGGAATTGTCATGGTCATCGATCTGGTGTCACACACACCAACTAGCGCGCCCACCGTCCGACAGGCACCCGAAGAGCATGCTTCATGCTACGGGGAGTGGCTCTATCTACCGACTTCTGCTTCGTTATTCAACATAGCTGCGAGAGTTTGACAGTACATGGTAAACTTAATAAGCGATGCTACGCAAGGTTATCCGTCCATTCGTGCCGTCGGAGAGACTCTTTCGTCCACTGCGAAATGCCTGTTGGATGCGGCATTGCGGACTCCGTCAGCATCCCGATCTAGACCACTGTAGTCTCCGGGCATTCGCTCCATTTGCTCGCGAGCCTGGAGCGGTTTCCTGACGTTTGCGTCTTGAGGACGAGAGGGTCATTTCGTGTTCCGAGAGTTAGAGTAGCCGCGGGTCGGAATATGCGGCAAAATATTCGGTACTTGATGCATGATGCTGTGGTCCAGCACGAGCCAGTCCATTGCAGACCAACCATACCATCTTGAACGCAGCTCCATGTCCTTGCCATCCCAAGAAATAGTTTGTGTGTTGGACCTCAGTATGCTGAGCCTCATTGCGATTCTTGCCAGACAGGAGCGGGTTTCACCAAGAACAGCGAGCTTCCCAATTCGTGGGGACCTGAATAATACCAGGTAGGTAGCTCATAACCGACATGGTCGATTGAATTGTCAGGGTGAAATGGCGGCTCGGTCCTCATCACGACATTTTACATAAATGGTCATTTCGGGACTGGATGAAATTTCTATAAGGAAATCTTACAACCTTGAGAGAAGTGGTCGCAATGAAGGTAAAATGTAGGAAAATCAGTTGTGTCATCTCAGTACATATCTTAGCTGCTGGAGCGCTAAAGATATCCTGGGGATGTAGGTCAGTGGTAGACTGTTCGCTTCGCATGCGAAAGGTCCCCGGTTCAATCCCGGGCATCTCCATTTTTTGTCCTTGCTCCCCTTCACCAAGTACCTAGGTAGGGACAATCATTCGAATGAAATACAAGTCAGACCAACGTCTATGTCTAGCTCTTGGTCATTTCTTCTTTATGATCGTTTTCCAGATGTTTTCGCAGCGGTACTGCGAATTTGATCTTGAATCTGGTTCGCTAATCTCAAGCTCGTCGCGTATCTCTGAGGTTTAGATACGCGACCTTATATGAAGGCCACAGTCCCTCGTGGTTATTTTGATCCCAAGTCGCAAGTGCAAATACCAGTCAAAGCCTTTTGTACTCCACAGCATGCGCTTGAGAATGGAGTTCAACCCAATGTCATTTTCCGGTCCCAACACCTACCAACTCCGACAGCACGCCTCCTCAGGTTATCATACAGAACCAGCCAGAGGTACATCACAGTACTGCTGGTGATTACCTCTTCTTCGGCTTGCCGGCTGACTTGCGCTTCACCGCCTCTACAAGACCACCGAGCTCCTCGCCACTCTTTTTGGCCTTCTTCACCTTCTTGACCTGGCGTTCGTCGGGCGCTGCATCACCGCCGTTCTTCCTCTTCTTGCGGCCCTCCTCTAGCAGCTGCTGCATACCCTCTGTGGCCTTGTACTTGGGATTCGACGGGTCGATGGCATACTCATGGCTCTCAAATACAGCCTTGAAACGGTCGTCACCAACATCCATCTTGAAGCCCTCCTGCAGACCGGCCCGCTCGACTTCCTTCTTCTTGCCCTTCTTCTTGTACTTTTTCTTGCTCTGCTTCTCGGCTCGCGTGATTTCGTTCATGTCAAAGTGATCCAAGTGGTCACCATCATCCTCACCATCACCTGCCATGAGGAGCTCCAGCTGCGCCTTCGACTCTGCCTTCTCCTTCTCCTCGGCTTCCCGCGCCGCTCTCTTGGCTAGACGCTCCTCCTTGCGGATGGACGTCTTGGTCTTCTTGGATGTCTCTTCCGCCGCGAAGAAGGGGTCGTCGAAGCCCAGGTCCTCCACAGGCTCCGCTTCCTCTTCCGAAGAAGACTCGGCATCCGGGTCGCGACCTTCACGCCTTGCCCTCGCCGCCAGGCGTTTACTCTCCTTGCGCTCGCGCTCTTTGCGGGCGTACTTCTCAATCGTCGTCTCCTCCTCCTCGGGAACCTTGTTCTTCTGCTTCTCCGTGAGAGCCGGCGCAAACGTGATCTCCATGTCGCCGACCGGGCCGCCCTTGGACTTGCCTGCCGTCTCGTCGCCGAGACCGAGCGCCTCCCTCATCTTTTGCCGTGCCAGCTCCTTCTTGGAAAGCTTGGGCTCGTCTGCGTTCTGCGGCTCGTCGTCAAAGTCCTGGTCGTCTTCGCTGTCGCTGGCAAGGTAGGCCTTGAGGTCGTTCTCCTCGAGCTCGTTCCTGCTGCCGCTGAACGCCTTGTTGATCGAGTCTTTTCTCGCGAGCTCCTCCGGGTGGAGATCCCAGGTGAGCTTGACCTTGCTGTGCTGCAGCGCATCCGTGACAAACTCGATCGGCTTGTAGCCCTCGGGCACCTTGGCGCACTCATCGCGGGGCTCGTCGTCGAAATCGACATCGTCGGGCACGAAGCGCAGGTCGATAAAGTTGGAGGAGGACTGGTATTCGGTGCCGTCGGTGGCTTCGTAAATCTTCTTCGCGATGGCCTTGTCGGAGCACGTCATGATGGCGTAGTAGTAGCGCAGGCGGTCGAGTTGGTATGATCGCAGCGCGTCGCCGTCAAAGTCCTGGTCGTCGCCCTCCTCGATGATCTCGTTCTTGATCTTCTCGTCCGCGTCCGCGTCGCTTGAAGCGTCGCTGTCGTCCTCTGAATCGTCCGAGTCGTCCTCTTCGGGCTCGATTTGCTTTGCGGCCTTGAAGATCTCCTTCGGGGGTCCTTCGAGCTCCTCGCGCTGCATGCGCTCTTTGCCGAACTCGCTGGGGTAGATGGTCACCTTTTCTATCCTGCCGCCGGTGGTGGGCAGGAAGCTGCTGAAGAGAGCCATCAGGTCTTGCGACTTGATGTGGTCCCAGTCGAGGTTGACGACGGCGATGCGGTTCGTGACCTCGCCTTCCTCGACAGCAGCCTGCTCGTCGCGAAGGCGCTGCATGGAGCCGCCGGCCTCGGCCGCAGCGTCATCTTCATCTTCCTGCTCCTCGTCCGAATCCGAGTCCTCGTCGGAGGAAGAGAAGCCACCGCCACGCGCAGGATCGTAATTGGCGTCGGCAGCCTTGAGCTCGCGTTCGACCACGTCGTCATCCTCAACCTCGGGGGTATCCTCGTCGTCCTCTTTGTCTTCCTTGTCCTCTTCGCCCTCCTCTTCGTACAGTCTCTGCAGAGCCTTCTTCTTCGAGTCGGACTTTAGCTTCCTGCCGTATCGATCGACCTTTGCTGTGGCGGTGAACTCATCGTCCTTGAGCATGCGTGAGAATCGCTTGTCGATTGTGGTCTTGGTCTTCTTCTTGGAGGGAAGACGAAACCGGGGGTCCGTCTCGAAGTTCGAGAACCTCGAGTCGGTGATCTTGTCTGACTTGGACATGGCGTCGACGGTCCAGGCGAGATGTGTCGGGGATTGTCGTGGAATCGTGGAAGCGTCGAGTTTGCGACGAAAAAAGTTGACCTGGGTCGCGGGGGATTGGATTTTTTAGTGGGGTTGCCGGCAGTACATCTTCACCGAGACCCACCGAAAGACACCGCCTTTCATGCTCTTCCCTTGTTGCCTCGGCTCTTGCGCCTTTGCCTTACATCGACACATCTTCAACGCTCACGGGCCAGGACAAGTGTTCTGCCTTTCAGGGCTTGATCCAATCTCTACATGTTTGTCTCGAACCCTGAGATTGCATGAATGGGGAAGCCTTGTCTCCTTCGCACGGCCGGAGGCCTAGCCAACTGCTACCAGTGTCATCACAGCCTATAGCCAGTCAATGTGCACCGACGAGTGTCTTTGTCGATGATTGAGGATGAGACTAGACAAGGATATGCCGAAACTTACAACGACGCGCTCCCACAAGAGTGATGTGCTCCGCGGGACACGTTGCTGTCCACGAAAGAAGGCGTATCACTTGGTAAGGTGACCCCGCTTGCAAAGCCAAACTTACCTCATCTAGAGGTACTTATTGTTAGGTGAAGCCCGCTACTGACATCCAGGCCAACTCCCCCTTCGTTTCCCATCAACTGCCCATAATTATCCTCATCCTTGCATCTTCCACACCATGCCTTCCAACAGCAGCAGCAGCAGCAGCTCGAAGCAGACGGGGTCCGGGGCGTCGGCGCCGGCCAGTCAGCAGTCCTCTGGCTACGAGACGCGACACGAGACCGCCAAAGCTTGGGGCGGGCGCCAGAACTTTCAGCACAGTTATGGGTTGAAGAGTACGCCATCATGCCCATACCTGCACACATCCTGCTAACCCCTTTTAGTGACGCCGGACGACATTGCGGAAGGAAACGCTATCCTGGACGCGATGGCAAAGCACAACAGAAAGTAGCCACAATGGCCCGCCGAGTCTTTCTGGTTGGGTTGGGATGGAGACATCCCAGGTCGAAGAGGCGACACTTCGACGATACCGAACTAGGTCGACGAGTAGTTGCAATTGATCATCCATAAGTGTCTCGATCATGAGGCACAGCCTGCCGCGGTACTTCTCATAGCTGCGTCTGCCACTGTAGCCCAACGTGCAGCTTCCTGCGAAACTCCGACCCCAAGTTTTCGAGTTCAATGTTGCTTTGTCTGGCAAGAACCACAGTCATATGAGTCACCGCGGATTCAATCTGTGATTGGAGCTATGTGTATTATTGGAGAAATTTCATTGCCTGTCGCAAATATGTCCGAAATCCAGCGCTGCAGTCCAGTCTCAGATTATGATGCCCCTTCTACCCTCTGAAACCGTGCTCCCAGGCCATATGAAGAGGAAAATAGCAAAAATGTCTGAGAACCAGCCTCTCCCACAAGCAGAAACAAAAGCGACGAAATCCCCTCGAGCGCAAAAGACACAAGTAATATGCTGTGATAGATGATATTGAGCATCCTGCGTCCGAACCTCAGAAGCGCCCGTAACGTATCCACCCTCGCCGGCTCGGAGGAGATTGTCGGGGACCTCCTCACTTCGCAAGTTCGGCCGCCTTTGGGTTCTTGATCTTCGATAGTGTTTCCTTGCAGAGCTCCAGGTATTTCTCAGGGTTGAGCAGATTCATGACGCCAAGCTCGGAAAGAGTAAAGGGGTCGTGCCCGTCGTCCTGGACAGCACAGTCCACGACCTCATTCTTGCTGGTCTGAATCTTCTCAATCTTGTCGTCGATGGAGTTCGGTGATTTCAGCCTCACGCAGTACGTCTCTTTGCACTGTCCAGTGCGGACGACACGGCCGAATGACTGCTGCTCCCTAGCACTGTTCCACCACGCGTCGACAACAATGACGCGATTGGCGCACGTCAAGTTGAGGCCTTCGCTACATGTTCCCATGGTTGCGACCTGTTTCAAACACTTGTCAGCCCCAGGTCTCACAGCAAACACGATACACACTGGATACTCACCAAGACCTTGACAGTCGGTTCAGACTCGAATATGTTCTTGGCCTTGGACTTTTGCCTCGACAACATTTTGCCATAGGTGTAGACGAAGTCGATGCCCTCAAGCTGGAGCATGATGCCCGTCATCAGGAGCGTTTTCACGAATTGCACAAAGACTATGTCTCAATTAGCTCGGTCGGGATCCAAAGGCCCGTTTCACGTACTGATGCACTTGTCTTCGGGGAAATCTCTCCGCCATCTGAGCAGAGTGTCCTTGACTGCCGTGAGCTTCGAGCCCGCGGCCGGCATTCTGTTGTTCAAGACGAAAGCTGCCTTGATAAAGGTGGTATCGCGGGGCGCAAGCAAAGGCGTCACGCCTTGGTTGTCTTGTCCGACACGACGGTTCCTAGGGTCGGTGGCTGGAGCCGCTCTTCTGCGGCTGAAATTCGATCGGCTTGCCCGCTTCCTCTTCGATGAGCTTTTGATCTCGTCTTCCCTAGCTTGCTCTTGGGCGTCAAATTGAGTCTCCAGCGTACCGAGGGTGACTATCTTGAGGAATTGTGTCGGAGTGTTGCAGCGAGGACACTCGGTGCGTTTTTCGGTTTTGAGCCACTCGGTCAGACAACTGCCGCAGATGTAATGACCACACTGGTAGAGAAGGTGTCAGTTTATTCCTCCAGGAACAAGCAGGAGCTCTCATAACTGCCTATGACCTACTGCTTCTGCTTTCTGAGGATCAGAGACGTTATTTTCGCAACTTGGGCAGCCTACTGCTCGTATTTGGTGATAATCGATGATCATTTCAATGAGCGGCGCGAAGGAGCAGCACCGTGTTCCAAACTCCGAGCTGCCAAATGGGTTAAGGGTCTTTGGTTTGGCCACGCTTGAAGACCTCGCATCATGGTTGACTTGTCGCTCAGACCAGCATCCAATTTGATCAAGAGTGCTGGGTGTCACTGGCTGCGCCTCGACCTTTCGCACCATCTCAAGCAGCACCTGCAGCTCGTCCACGGATACGCCGTTCGGACCGTCATCCCGGAGGAAAGACTCCAGGGAATAGGCGTGCGACACCAACTGCCTGTACCGCATGTGACCGACATATTTTTTGTTGCCGGTCCTCGCGTCGTCGTCAGTGTCGAATATGATGTCAAGCCACCTAAGTACTGTCAGCCATGCGTTTTCTGATCAATGCTTTTCTCAAAGAACTTGCTCCTGGATGGCTTTTTCAACAGCAGTAAGCTGGACGTTCTGGTCCTCCATGTGCTTTTGGGGAAGTTTCATCATTCTGTTTCCGAGGAAAAGATCTTGATCCGTCCTAGGGGTGGTCAGAAGTCGTAGATCTAGACGAGCTGCAACTGAAAGCATACCTTCGATAGCTGTTGTTGGTCATGAGAACATCGATCCGATCTTTTGCATCGCTCTACTTTGTATCAGCAACCAGCCCACCCAAGCTTGATCGCTGCGATTGGGACTTGTGCCACTCACTGAAAGCACATAAACGTCTTTGAACTCCTGAAAGTTTGTGACATTTGTGCAACCGATGAGTTTTGTGTAAGAGTATAGCTCTAGAGCACAAATGTCTCGTCAGTACGCTCGATGCTTGTTTCTTGGATGCTGACCAGAGCGAACCTTCGATTCTATTGCTGAGCGGTGTGCCGCTGAGACCCCATTTATGATGTGCCTGGACAGCGTAGGCTGCCCGGAAAGCTGGCAAAGGTATTAGAGATGCGGGAAAATCAAGGTTCGACTCAAAAAGAAAAGGATGTACATACTCATTCCAGCATGCCTTTTGATGTTATGAACTTCGTCCAACACCAAGCGGAAGAATTGAACTTTGTGGAGCATTCCTCTGATATAATCATCGGCCATCGCGTACTCATCAGCCCCCAGAGGAAAACCTCGAACGCAGCCGGCAGGCTCTGCATCATCGCCATCTTCGTCGCTTTCGTAAACATGAGCAGAAGGGGTCGCCTCATAGCTCATTCGAAGCTCGGTATAGGTTGCGATTCTGTAATAAAAATCAGTGACTTGAACTCAAAGATGTCCAAAGGTCCCGTGTCCGGCGACATGATGTTACTCACACGATCCGCTTTCTGGCTAGGGCCCGGTGATCTAGCCGGCCATCCTGGAGGGTGGACATTAGAATGGTCTGATCATCATATGTCTCGCCAAGATGGGCGAGAATCTCGTTCCTCCACTGTCGAGCAAGCGAAGCGTTTGGTGCCACGACCAGCGTCGCCCCCTCTCCTGCGTCTCGTTTGGCATTCTCAGGTCGGTTGCCATGGATTGCAGCAAGAGTGACGATCGTCTTGCCAAAACCGGGCATGTCAGCGACAATGCCGCCCTGGGGGCCAATGTCAGAGTGCTCCTGCAAGACCCACCAGGCCGCGAGAGGAAGCTGATATTCCTTTAGCTTGGCAATCATACCCTTAATCTCATAGGATCGTTCTGGACCAGCTGGAGTGTCTTTGTTGAAGCATTTGACTTGGGCTCGACCGAAGACCTTGATGCCTTCTTTTACATCCCTCTTCTGGGTCTTGCCATGACGATTGTTGCCTACGCTGTTTGTGCACTTGGTGAGCTCTTTCATGTTGTCCGCCTTTGTGACGAAAGTGGGTTCTTGTTCTTCAACACCAGAGAACGAAGGCATGTCTGATGGGACAGCAGTGACAGACGTGACCTCGATGCTCTTCTGCTTTTTCTTGGACTTATTTCGAGCCGGCGGTGGTGGGATGAAGCCTGTTTGGTCCACGAGCCCTAGATTACTCACCATGTACTTCAGGAATGCCTCCTTGCGGCTGGCGGAGAGCCTGGCCGCATATTCGGCGACATTCTTTGCTGCGCGGCGTGGAGTCCTCGGCTTCGCTTTGGCCGGTTGTTGTTCTTTCTTCTCTTGTTGGGAAGCAACACGAATGTCGGTAGGGTCGACGTACTCGTCGTCGGAATATTCTTCTGGCTCGGACAATTCGCTGCTGCAGTCAGATTTGTCGTCGGCGTAGTCTGCATCCTTGTGCGATGCAACCCCCGAGGGAGGCACTCGAGCATCCTTATCGTCATCGCCGTCGACATTCATAGGCGCCTGCACCATGGCCCCCGGTCGGGCCATTGAGACAAGACATTCGACATCGTTGCCCTCGAGCTTGACGACGTTGTCAGAAGGAGACTTGGGACCAAGACCAAGAGAACCTTCCCTCTTGACGAGAGAAGGCTCTGCAGTCTCATCCCCCTCCATAGTCGTGAAAGCCTTGGTAAGGCAACGTGAGGTGAGGCAAGGTTCAAGGTAGAGAGGCAACAATGAAAGAAGACTAGATCAAGGTTGAGCTGAAAGAGGATGGGACGAAGGATATGGTGGGAGAGGTGGTCTGCATTGGGTGGGAACAGAATAGGTTTGAGAGTGTGAGTTGCTTTAAATACCTTTTCGATACCACCTCCGGAAGCAGTGAAAGTGCAGGTGCCCCGATTCGCGGAACGTGAAGGAAGCGGGAGGTGATTCAGACGGCAGTGGTTTCCTCGAATCTTTGGGACGAGGGCAGAGTGCAGGAAGGCGTCTTTGCAGTCCGAAATCTCTCAGAAGGTCTGAAATCCAAATAGCGGTATTGGCAGATGATGGTCAAAGGAAACATGCTCTGAGGAGGTACTTTAGGTGGGTAGGTAGGTGAGGCTGGCGCAAGCGGAGCGTTGAGTTGTCGAAACTGAGATCGCCTCAGGCCTCCAACATCTGTTCACACGTCACAGTCGGCAAGCATCAGATATACAACTGCCCCAACATGGCGGTCCCACACATATGATTCGACTCTACATACAACAAGCCGCCAATGTACATGTGCAAAGAAAGCCCTGCGTGAACAAGAACAACCGTCTCTCATCCTCATGCTGAACGTTAAAGGAAAGGGGGGGAAGGAACAAGGAAAAGGTTGTGGGATAGAACTCGAATGCTCCGCTGAAGGAGCCAAAGGGGGAAATGATGGTCAGCGAACGACGGTTCACTTGGCCTCATACCTTCCACTGACGACCTTCCGCACAAGCGGCACGTCGACCCACCTCTGGTCAGCTGGCAGGGCAGGCGAGTTAAGTTCTTCGTCGGCAAAAGGGTCATCTTCTGCGGCCGCGACGTCCTTGCCCTTGCCCTTCGACTCCTCAAGTCTGGACACGGAGATGCCGCTGCCGAGGGCGGCGCCTTCAGCGGGAGTGTACTCCCATCGCGCTTCGACGTGGCCCGGCTTTGGTTCCCCGTTCTCGGCTCCAACGATACGGCAGACGATCTTGTGCACCTCGGAGGTCAGGGTGAGCTCGGGGAGACGCCAGTAGACGAGCTGCTTCTCTTTGAGGTGGGTACCGGAAGGCTTGGTCTGCGCCCCGGACGCTCGCGCACCCTCATACGTGACGACGAACACGACATTGTGAAGTGTCACAGGGCCCGACACCTTGGCTGCGGGGTTAAGGGAGTACTGGAGGAGCAGGCCGAGCTTGTCGCCCTGAGGCTTCCATGCGGGGCGCAGAAGCAGTGGTGCATGCTCCGCGAGGGATGGCGCGTCCGAGCCGGCAATGTCGTGAACACGATAGGTGAAAGCTGTGGCCGTCTTGTTCAGGTGAGATAGGTTCAGTATGAACTGATCGGGTTGCTCAGGGGACACGTTGTGAACAAAGATGCGGTTCGGTCCGATGACTTCGAGGTTGGGGAAGTTGTTGATACGAATGCTCTCAGATTCTGCGCCATGGTCAGCGGTGGATTATCATTCATGATGCCGCGAGAGGGGGCTTACCTGGCGCATCCGAGTCGCCGTGGTATGAGAAGGCGATCTCGCCGCTGATCTTGGCACTCTTAACCACTCCATCCTCGAAGGATGCTGTAACGGTCTCGATGATGGACGAGTGGAGGCCAGGTCCGGTCATTTCGGGGTGCTTCTGGTGAGCAAGGCTGCTGAGCGAGTTGGCCGAACGAATGGACTGCGTGTCAGATGTGGCAGCGATGCTCGCCTCGGACGCCAGGGTGGCTACGGCCGAGGGGCGAGACGTTTGGCTGAGCAGCGGCGGCGACGATGGGAAGGGGTTCTCGTTCGTGAGATCCCGGCCGGGCGGTGCAGGGACGTAGATGGTGTTCCTAACATCACGCCTGCCCCTCACAGTGCCCATCTTTCGTGTTGGTGCGCTCATCTTGCCTAGGGTGCTGGCGACGTTGGTTATAGCCGCCTGGCTCTCTTCGGGGTCTTCTTCCTGGATCGGCGAGCTCTGAATGTTGAGTTTGAACATTTGTTCATTGTCCTCGGCTGCTTCCCGTTGCGCCTGGGAGATGGGATCCGTCGCTGGCGGAGGTACGGTGAAGCCTTCAGCATCCTTGTTCTCCGTGTCCCGCAGCTGCGAAGGAGGCGGTCCTGGAGGAGGAGGGACGTCTGAGACATCGACGGTGTCTGCGCCGTTGACCGCGGCTGATGATGTTTGGCTGAGTGCTGCATGACCAGTGGTCTCGGCAACGCCGTTGGTACCCTCATGCGGAGACCGCTCGTCCGATTCGCGGATCGTCTGCGGCGGGTTCGGTTGGTTCGGCGCGCTCGGTGATTCGGGTAGCATGGACAAACGGTTGTTCGCTTCTCCAAGGTTGCTTGACGATGTCCTAGGTGACAGTCCTGGTCGGCCATGGCTGCTACCCGTGCGCCCAAAGGATCCAGACTTTCCAGGGGAAAGCGACCCGAAGCCGCTGTGGACACTTTGCCGTCGGCGGCCGAGCATGGTGCCGATGCGACTGCGCAGCTTGGATTCTGTTCATAGGGTCAGTGGGCCATGTCGGAACATCTCTCTCGCGTGTACGCGAACGCATACCTGTCTTGCCTTCCTGCTTTGTCTCTTGCTTGGGCTCGGGTGGTGGTGGCGGCCTATGCTCGACGGGCACAGATCGCTCGCTTGTCGTGTCATCGGCAATCTGGCTGTGGTTCGGTGGTGCTAGGCTTTGACTCTGGCCCTGGCCGGCTGCGGTATGCGAAGTCTGCCGCGTCGACGGCCTCTTCTCCAGCCTCGGCCTTCCGGCTGTGGCGCGCTCCTGAAAGCTGGCAATCTCGAGTTCGGTGCTGATCTCCAGCATGGAAGCCAGCGTCTCGGCGGCCGTCGCCTGGCTGCGTTGGGCCTGGTCGCTCTCGTGCGTCTGGTACTGGGTCAAGAGGTCGCGCAGCTGGTTGACGCGCTGCTCGTCGAGGGCCTGGAGCGATTCGAAGATGAAGGGCGCCGACGAGTCCCACTGTTGCGTCGACGAGTTCAACTTGGACAGGGCGGCCTCGAGTTTCTGCGCATTGCCCTTTGTGCCTTTCTTCCCCAACGTCTCGACCTTCTTCTGTGCTTCGTCCAGGTCGCGCGCCATGCCGGAGAGGTTGCCAGAGGTGGCAATCATCTCCTGCATCTCCGGCTTGGTCCCGAAAGCGCGCAATGGGGCCTCGACGTCCCTGTCAATATTGGCGGCGAGCTGGTGGTGTGACTGCGCGGTTGCGTCGACGGCTTGGAGGATCTTGTCCCATGGCGCCTGGAAGACGCTGGCGGTTCTGTCAGCACGGGGAAAACACGCAAGAGAGCTCCAAGAGAGTCGAAGAGGGGATGTGAAGAGCATACCCGAGCTCGGATTGGGCGTTGGGAACCTTGAATTGGAGTAGCTTGCGGAGGCTCAAGACGTATTGCTCCTCCACCTTGCGGCGTTCCTGAGAGAGAAGTCTGTTCAGCATACAATTGGCCAGTGTGTATCTCCGAGTGACCTGTCCATCGGGCGTACCTGGAGCCATTCTGCGATTTCGCCATTGATCTTGTTTATCCTCTTTACTCGCTCGGTCAGGACGTGGACAGCTTGGGTCGGCTGGAGGGATCCCTGGAGGCGATAAAAAAAAAAGGTCAGCGAGTGAACACGAAGATGAAGCTCGACAGCTGCAATGGCAGGGTGGCAGCAGGTGGGAATGGGCGCTCACAAGCATGGACGGGTATTCGGTGCGCGTGGTGTCGTCCATTGTGTTGGTCAGCTCGTAGACGCTGCGCGGGGAATCATGTACAGAAAATGCAGTAACGTGGACAAGGCGAAGAGATCGCACGCATAGCGATGCGGTCTACACGGGGTTGCGGGTGCAATGGCCCAGGGCGAAAGACGAGTGGCTGGGGGTTTGCTGCGGTGTGTGTGTGTGTGTGTGTGTGTGTGGTGGCGGGCCAAGGTGAGGAGCATCGCGAGATGCAGTGGAAAGGTTCTGGGTTGGGTTGGGCCTTGAATCATCAATGCGGGCTGGCCTGCCACCGCTCCCGGGCCACAGTTCACACCCAAGGTACCTAGAGGTAGGTAATTAGTCGACAGGTCTGCTTACAGCGGGCAGGCCTGTGCCTTTGCTTGTGCCTGCGCCTGGAGCTGCGCCTGGAGCTTGGTGGAGCTCCAGACTGTCACGGGAGCCACGGCCCTGGGCCGAGCGCTCCATTGGGATGGCGCTAGGACGAATGAGATCATACACGATGCGAGGTTTGCTATTGGCCGAAGAGAGTCTGGGGGGACGAACGCATTGCGGGCCTTCATTTTAGGCACGTACATGTAGGTACGCAGGTACGTACCTAGGTACCTAAGCAGGCTCTCCCCAGGAAGGCAGGGACAGACGTGGCAGTGCCAGAGTGCCTCGAGTCATGTGATCAAGCCCATGGAATGGGACCATCGTTGGGCAGTGAACCACAGATCGGTCATCTCTATTTTATGCATTACGTCCGAGCATTCCTCTGTCATGGTCTTTATCGAATATTATCATGCCTGGGATCGCATGGACACGCGGCACATCCGTCATTGCGAAAGTTTATCCCATCCAATGGCAGCTTGACAAACGGATGAGCCAACCTGATATTCGCCCACCTGGCCATCGCCTTACACTTGAAGCGATGAACATGCGACACAGTCACACAACTGGACACAGCTTTTGGATCTTCAGATGATGAGAAGCAGATTTGATCATTGGTCATCTTTCGTTACACATCCATGACACCCCTGCAGCCCCATCCCGACTGGACACCCCATCGTGGATATCCAAGAAGACAGAAAAAAACAAAGATCCAAGCTCGCTGCATCATCATACCTCTTTCGACCCTTGGAGCCTCTATCAAACACCTGAGCTACATTTCATCGCCGTCAACTAACCTCGCACCCCATCCCCAAACCGACATGGCGGCCTTGTGAACCTCACGACAGCGAGACGCTTAGCAGCCAGCGTAAATAGCTAAAATCGGGTCAGCTTC